CAAACCACAAGGGTAATAGGCATAGCGACGCAAGGGAGACATGATTACGATCAGAGGGTTACTAAATACAAGCTACAATATGGCGATGATGGACAACCTTACAGTGTCTACAGGCGAAACGGAGACATATCAGACACGGTATAAACGAGAATGACTTTTTGAGCAAGATGCTTTTTTTCCTTTTTGCTGCGAGGGTGATCCAAAGAAAAACAATTTTAAAAGAGTTTCCATGAGTTATAGAACCTCAGAGATTCGAATTCTGCGCCTCAATGCCCTAACACTACGCCACAGCGACTTTACAGGCAGCTGAGCCATTACGAGGTTCAGCTGAGCTATTACGAGGTCCATCATATGTTCAAACATGAGCTTTTCTCTTTTTGCTTTTTGTGAAGTCGAGATACTTGAGAACGCTAGAGAACGAGTAGTAGAATTTAGTGAGATCAAACTGTATTAGTTTATATCTATATTTATGTTTGATTGCTGATTAACATCTAGAAAAGCATCAACTAAGGTTCTAGGTTTAGACCTACTGCTTCTGTATAATGCATACATTCGTCAATTCTACATTCCACAATACTCTACTCAGGTTTTCCCAGGAAACACTGACAGGGACACAGTTGTGTATCACGATCTTAACCCGGTCATTGATGCTCGCTTCGTTCGAGTTCTTCCGATGGAATGGTTTGGCCACATCGGAATGAGAATGGAGCTTTACTCTTACTCTTGTCAAAGTAAGTTACTAGTTGAACTTTTTATTCCTGACTGGATTATTGTGCTTAACTCTCAGAAATGATCAACACGAAACTTCTCCCTTTAATATCCTTACATTATCCAGCAAACAGGCGATGAGAATATTCAAACTTATCAGGTAGAAGTTATCTTGATCTTACACCAACTTCTCATGACTAATTTACAAGGATATGTGTAGCAGCTAGAGGGGAGAATTAACAATCAGATCTTGGGAGTTAAACGGTTAACGGGTTTTACGCAGAGACGTTCAACCCTCACAACGACTCCTTCCAACAAGTGAAATCAAAGGATCAGTGTACCGGCAAGGGAGGGGGGGGGGGGGGGGGGGGGGGGGGAGAGAGAAATGGAGGTGGGGCAGGGTGGAAACTCAGCGCAATGGACTGGTTTTCATTAAAGAGTAGTCCCCAGGTCTAAGGCCAGTTATAATGGTAATTGGACTGGGTGGAATTCGACACGGTCGCTAATCATACAAGTGATAAATAAAATCAGGCGAACGCGAAGCAAGAGTTCGATTTGTCAATTAGGAGTATCATTACCAGAAAGAATTGGACGACTCGAAGTCCTGTTACCAATTAATCAAAAAATTTTGGAAAGAGACTGGACTTTTACATTAAAAACAACAGTTAAATCGGCGAAATGCGAGACAACAGCGCGCACATAACGCGCTCTGTCCACTTACGCAGGTATGACAAGTTAACTGTCCCTATAACTCTCCTATTAAACTGTCCAATTACAAGCATGACGCGTACACTGTCCTTTTAGTACTGAAATCGGGCTGGTGATAACCAATCACGTTCGAGAATTTTGTTATAGTTTTAACAGTACATACGTAATTGCAATATGGCAGTAAGGCTCAAACATTAGATATGGCATCCCTTCAATTTTTGCAGTAATGAGCATGTAACTTCTTTTTAGTGCTTATTTTTAAATACATTATCCAGCGAGCACGCAGATGAAAAGATGAGATAAATCTATCGGCTGATAGGTATTTTTTCTGATAGAGCACTAAATTTTCTGAACTTGCATGTTTACTGGTGAAAGTATAAGAGCTGAAAGGAAGAATTTCGATCAGATCAGTAGGAGTCTAACGGTTAAGATAGGGGAATTGATTGGCATCGAGCTATATTTTGCGTACTTGCTAATGTTGTTTTGTCTCCTTATTTTTCATTCTGTAGACGAATAACAGAAGTTTACGAAGAATATCCACGTGATGTAATCCCTCCTTCGCTGACACGATGTAACCCTTGTTTGTGGGCTACAAAGTGCAACAGCTTCTTGACTGATTGACCAATTAATTATCGTTATCATAACAGATTAAATAGTAGTTTAAGCATATTAGTCATTAGCGAAATGCATTGATGGCAGTACATAAAAACGCACCTGTAATAAAAACGAACGAACGAACATTCTGTCGTTGGAGCCTTATGTTCAATTAACTTCACTGCCTGACGAAGACCAAAGGTGTGGTGTTCGAAATGTAGTTTATGCTTGGATGGCCTCAATCATACATGTCCAATACATCCAAACCGCTACGATTCGTCTATGGTCCCTGACGAATCAACACACCGGAAGTCGAATCGTGCGTTAACATACTAGAAGTGGAGGGTGGCAAGCAATGTGTGAAAATGAGTAGCATGGTATACTGGAAGTCGAATCGTGCGTTAACATACCGGAATTTGGGGGGCGTGAGCAATGTGTGAAAATGAGTAGTATGAAAAGAGAAAATGACAACATGAACCTTCCACGTTCTTAAAGCGTGAAACGGCCGGAGGTCCATTGTCAGAATATTATCAATATTAAAATGAACCTTCTTCCTTCCTAAAGCGTTAAATAGGGGCATTAAATGTTGACGAATCGACACGATTCGTACGGGTCGACACGACTCGTCATTAGTTAAGTCAATCCGTCTCACCGGAAGTCGATTCGCAAAAGAAGACAATACATACTAAGGCGTTAAATTAGGGTATTCGTTCGATTCGAGAAAATCTGCAACCCCCTTTTGTGACCACTTACGGAATATTTTCTAAGTAAATCGACTTCCGGTGTGACGGGTCGACATCAACTGTGACGAGTCGTTCGATTCGAGTCGAATCGAATCGAGTCGATTCGACAATAGCTCCAACTTCCAAGTGTCTTGCAAATCGACTTCCGGTATGACGGGTCGACATCAACCGTGACGAGTCGTTCGATTCGAGTCGATTCGACAATACTTGTAACCCCCTTTCGTGGCCACTTGCGGGAAATTTTCGAAGTGTCTTTCAAATCGACTTCCGGCATGACGGGTCGACATCAACTGTGACAAGTCGTTGGATTCGACAACACTTTCAACGACCTTTGGTAGTTACTTGCGGAATATTTTCTCAGAATCTTGCAAATCGACTTCCAGTGTGACGGGTCGACTTTAACTGTGGCGAGTCGTTCGACTCGAGTCGAACTTGAAATATATATGAGATATATATGGGTTATTAACAAGTGTGAGATCAACAGGGCCGGATATTGGCTAATTTTCTTCTGTTGTACATTCGTTTTCGAACCTCAATTTCGTCTTAGTTCGTACAAATCCAAAAAGATTGAGAGCAGATTCAGTCACATAGTTCGATTTCTACCGTCGGAATGGCATTCTCACATACCTAGACGAGCTGAGCTTTACATGTGTTAGCTTGAGAATCGTTAGTCTGCTGTTTTACATTTTTAAAAGTTATTGGATACTTTCGAGCCCCCATTTCCTAAAAGTTCAGTTGCGGTGTCTCTGTTTGGCGGACTGACGACTTGGCAGGACAATTTTAAAGAACAACTTTAGTCCCATGGTCTCCCTTCCATCATCGCCACTGGAGATCTGGGAACTAGGTCACAGAAAGAAGACTGCTTAAATGACTTAAAGGGTACTTCAAGCTGGATTCTGCAGACTGAGGAAACGGAAGGAGCGGGGGTTTACAAGTTTCCTCTATTCCATGTTAAATTTAAAGTCCCTCCTTCTTAGT